TCTGCTCACGGCAAGGCTCCATGGTACAGTCTGCTGCCTTCCTGCTCTCCATTGTGGCTTTTTGTTTGGGGTCAGCATGTACGAACGTAACCGCAGGAGGTATAGCCTGTGTGCCAAAGGCAAGAGGACTTTGGATGTGGTTCTGATCAAGGTACGACTCTTTTTTTTTTTTTCTAGGTCCTCGAATGCTCCAGGTCTCATTTCCTGCGAATGGAGGTGCATGATAGGGCATGGTGTTGCATGGATTAAATAATATACCGTCGTGCAGAGCTGCTCTTTTACCGAAGTTGTGTAAAACGCTTTTCAAGATTGACGTGCCTTTGGAAAACGGCGGCCTTTGTTTTGGCTGAAACATCATGTGAGCTGGGGGCACCCCAGCCGTTCCAGGCAGCTGTGATGTCAAAGTGGGTGTTGTTCAGTGGGGGTGGGGGCTGTTATTGAGAGTGTATTCAGCTTTTAGGGGCTGATGTTTTAAATGCATTTTTGAAGGCAGTGCAATGATTATTAAAATCATTCATGCATCCCATGTGCTATATACGTATTACTTGATTTTCATTATCCAAAAGCATTGGCAACAGTCAGCATATGATAGTGTCAGACAGCAGGGAACTGTACTACTATCTTGAAATTAAACATTTTGAGGAGATTCCATGGGGCTTTTGTAACACTTTTCTTCCCGGTACGCTTTGAGGATTTGACAAACTATAATAGTGTTACTGTAGAAGCAGCAGTAATTGACAGTACTTGAAGTTTTGGTTCTGCGCTTGGTGACTTTGTGAGGTGAGACCCTGTCAACAGCTGATGAGCAGGAATCGTTGCCTTGGTCTGACAGGTTCAGGTTCTGCGAGGCCATCTTTGCTTTAACTCTCTTTAAGTCCCGTTCCCTGCTGTGCGGGAACGGCAGTGACATTCCAGGGACTGTAGTGTTGAATGTGCTCTCGGTGGTCTGGGTCCCATATCTGTCTGCAAAGCCAGACAGGCTTGCAGTATCTGACAGAATAGTTTCTCCATTAAAAGGGGCCTGATATCACCCTGCGTCGCTGACACGCTGCCTTGGATCCGCGCCCTCTAGCCAGCGGGTGAATTCCGCGTGTTAATGCAGCCCCTCGGCCTGCCGTCGATCACTTGTCAGTAGGTGCAGTGAGCTCGGCCTGCCCCCGAGGTGTATTTTTGGGTGGATGCTGCTGTGACACGGCTGCCGAACCTTCAAGGAGAATGTGTGTGTTTTTTTTATTATTATTATTATTATTTCTGTGAAATGAGCCGTGCAGAAAACTGAGCCATGGGGAAAAAAAACTGAGGTGACCAGAAGTGAGGAGCTGCTCAGATCTCTCCGTCTCTGTCTCTGCGCTTCCTGTAACCCGGTAGAGGGTGCCTCTTAACTCCCCCCCCCCCAGTGGGGTCCCACAGAGGCCAGGGACAGTGCGGCAGGGACGGAGGGGCCGCGTTCAGCAACGCTCTGGGAAAAGCGCTCTGCCCTTAGTCGTTTCCTTTGGCTCCTGTCCTGGTCTCTGCTCTGGTGGAAATTGGCGCAGGGCCAGATGACTTCATAACGCAGCCAGTCCCTTGAATACTGATTCTCACACTCGTACCCGAGATGGGAGCCCCAGTTCCCTCTCTAGCCATGAAAACAAACACGGCTCATGGTTGTTATGGCCATAGCAACCGCTCTGTTGTCCCGGGCAGCAGAGTTTGTTTGTAGACCTATATTAATTCCTCGCCCTTCATTTTTGGCTGTTTTTGCATATTACCCCATGTGTGCCGGACCGTTAAAATCTGGGCAGAATTCTCTTCCTGTGCCCCTTTTAATGCACCAGGTTTATTTTTAAATCACGTGGGCTTTTTTGGGTTAGACCCGTGGGTCTACAGATATTAACATCTTTAGGAACTGGGCTCTGGTGTCACTGTGAATTGGGTGGTTTATTGAAATATTGCAGTTTATATGGTTTAGCTGCATTGTCTGACCTTTCAACTGTGAGACCCTGAAAAGCGGGTTGGGATCAGCATCCTGTCGGCCTCACTGTTTCGGAAACTGGACACCCTTAGATTCTGGATGCCTTACTGTCATTTTTATTTCCCAGAGTTCTCTGACAAGTTAATAGAAGGTTAGCACTGAGATGTATCTGTTCTGGACCTAAATGCGCTTGCTTGCGTTTGTGTTTTATGCAGGAGTGATTAGCAAATGCATTTTCCAAAGCGGCTTCCAGCTCAGTGTTTTCCTCTGGCAGTTCGGATTAGTGTCCTGCTCAAGCCTTCGACATTGAAGCCCTTCCTGGGAATCTTCCTTCCTTCCTTCCTGGGAATGTGCTTAACCACTAAGACACCTACTGCTCTTGGAAAATATTCCTACAATGAGAACTGATGGCTTTCCTTATCAGTATAGCATTTTTCAGTTATAAGTATCATATTTCTCTCCGTTATACGTAGGTGAATAGCTACAGTTTGGCAGGATTATATATATTTTTTGTCATCCCCCATATATTTTTTTCTTATTAGATGTCACTGTGATTTGTAGGACATCTACTAGTCATGAGTTTGAGTTTTTTTCCCGTGACGCACGTACTTCCCCGACGCTACGGACTGATGGTTTTTGTGTCCCCGTGTCTCCTGGGCTCGACTCCGGACTCACCATTATCCTGCATTGGATAAATGGTTATGGAAAATGCATGAATGACTAGTTGAAATGTCGTATCTAGCTTATGCTTTTTCAATCCAGCTTGTGAGGTTTTGGGTTTTGGATTGAGACGTCACTCCGTTTTTGGTTTTTGGTTTTGTCATCAAGGCTTTTCTTGGGAAGCAGTGGTTTGGTGAAGTGAGTGCAGTGCATTATGGGAATTTAGCAGTGCATTGGGGAATTTAGGTCTTTGCCCACTCTGTTGGTGACAGAAGGCCCCTCTTCTGATGAACGACACAGTGTTCCCTGTTTGGCCTGCACTTGGCAGGGCGGGGGGCGGGCACTGTTATTCAGCTGTGGTGGGTGGAGCCATCAATGGTGCTTTGTGTGTGGTCATTGACCTCAGAAGTACGAGAAGCCCACGGCCTCTGTGCTCCAGGGCAGTTGGGACAATTCCGGAGAGGGCAGGAGATGCATCGGGAATGATATCACCAGAAGAACATGACATGATGTTAACGTGTATGTCATGGGTACTCCCCTTCCTCCTTAATTCTTGTTCCTGATCGTGGAACACTTTCACTGCTCCCGAAGCTGTCCAGATTACTTTCACCTGTCACAGTGGATAAATCCCATGACGTAACCACAGTTAGCATTCTGCTGTTTGTCTGGTCCATTTGTTTGTTCCTGCGTGAATTATGTTTGACCAAATATGACCAGATGGAAAGCTGTTCTTCAACAGGCAAAGTCCATTTTAGAAGTTTAGGTTTTTGTAATGAAAGCTCATTTGTAGAAAGAAACTTGCTGTCCTTGCGATCTCTTTGGTGTGACGTGTTGCTGAGTAATGGGGCTCTATGGCAGCACATGGTCTCAGAGAGATGTTGGGTGACTTTGGTGCTGTAAAGGAGAGCATGGTGGATATACATCTGTGGTGGGATCTAACAGTGCTTCAGATTAATTTTGCAAGGAAATGGCTTGTATGTGGTGGGTTTCATAAAGGGTGCTGGTTGGGAATGCCTTGCAAAGGGGGGATTGGAGGGTGCATATGTACTCACTCACACTCAGTCACTCACACTCAGACAGAGGCCTGTGCTCATATCTTTGTGGGGACTGTCCATTCATATCTATGAGCCTAACCCTAATCCCAACACCCTTAAACCCAACCAAATAAAATACTAAACTTTTGGCATTTTTAGTATTTTGCATTCACATATTTTTATAAAATTGAGATTATCCTTGTGGGGACCGAAAAAATCTGGTCCCCTCTGTATAATAATTACAAACAAAGACACACACACATGCAGCCCCATGCAGCCCAACGCAGCGGCCCGTTAATGCACGCTTGCAGGTGCATCACACTGAGCTCCCAGCCTCTGCTTTCCCTGAAGCGGCACAGAAATCGACACGTGTGTCTTCCTGACCATAAACATTCTGCTTCCTGTCCACAAATGTGCCTCTCTGTGATCTGAGTTTTCCTGTTACCCTTCCCCTCCTTAAAAAGAGACCCTTAAGGAGTCTCTGATCAGCAGAACCACCCACGGTCATCTCAGCCCGTGCCCTACAAGGCAAAACAATCATGATTTGTAGCACCGAGTGTCTCTTAAAACTCATTAAGGCTCATGTATGCGTTTTTTCTCAAAGTAAACAGATATAGAGAGCCTTTGTGGTGATTGGCTAGAGACGGGGCAGCCCTGTGTTGGTGGGAGGGGTGCGCAGTTGCTGCGTGATTGGGGTGTGCGGCTCTGGAGGCCGCCGGGTGACCTGTGCCCACGCCGATCTTGCATCTATCTGCACTGGGGTGTAGGGGGCCATAATGGAAGCCTGTGTCCCAGAGAATCCGCGCTCTGTTCGGCTCCACCGCGCTACCATTTCCGCACCCCTGTGGACGCCACCGCGTAGGTGGCTGGGTTTCTGCTCCCAGACTGCGAGGACTGTCCTCCTCCACCTCGAGACCAGTGTCCTCCGCTCCATCTGACCACCTCCTCACACATTACTCTGCTCCACAGCGTCTCCTGCTGCTTCCTGCTTGTAGCCGGGTTTGAGATATTGTTCATCCTGGTCACAGAAGCAGCCGGGTGACACCCCATGCTCTAGGGGGCATGTGTGTGCTAGTTGCACAAACCCCCTCCCCAAACTGGCACAGGAGGAGAGAGAGAGAGAGACCATTGTAAATGACTAGCAGTTCCACTTTCATTGAACATAGCTTGGTTTAGCAACACTGACTGCAGTGGGTGAAGGCTGGGTTTTTCGGGTGATTTCTCTACATCCCATAATAACCTCTCGTCAGTGACGCCTCCAGCATGGCGCCACGGACCGTCTTTGCTGATTCCTTATTCTGCATGTCAGATGACTCTGGTTTCACACGCACTGTTCCTCTTCTCGTCTGCAGATCCACACAGAGAAGGACTTGTTCTACACCTTCGATGAGTGTTCCGCCGCAGTTCCCCTCGGGGACGGACAAAACTCTGCGCCCCCAGGTAAGTCCCGGCCCTCGACCGTTCCGGGATTGCGGTGGCCTTATCCCAGTGAGACTTGCCTGAAATCGTGCCGTGAGAAAGACGTGGTGGGTTTATTTAACAGAAGTAGGGTGGGCCTGTGTCGTCTTGTGGCGTGTAAGAAAGTTCCCTAAAAACCAAAGTGTGCCACTGAATCAATTAGCTTTTTTCCTGGGTACAGTTAGGCTGATTCTTTCTAAAGACGACTGAACAGAGGTACGTGTTTGCCCACATGAAGTGTGTCCAGCTTCTTCTCTTGGGCCTCCAAGCCCAGCCTGCGTGAAACCTTCGTGAGAAAGACGTTAATTGGACGTCTGAGTTCCGATCCCCGGCGGGGGGGGGCAGAGCCTAACCGTTTACAAAGGAGACTTTTGTGGGATGGGAAGCACGCCGGGACTTCTCCCCAGGACTGACGGGGGTGGGGTGTGCTTGTCAATGCTCAGCTTGATTACGGAGGGCTTTGAAATGGAGAAATGGGGGTTGGGGCACGTGACGGCAATTTCCTGTGTGGGGTGAATGGCACCGCTGTGCGCTTTTTCCATCGATGGCTCTTCTCCTGTGGATGAGAGGACCTTACTCCCTCTATGGGGTGTGAGATTGGGGGGGGGGGGGGCATCTACAGGCCTGCGGACGTCTGCCCTGTGTACGGACTGAGCATGCACTCGCACTTTCCATTCATGCCCCGAAATCTCCATTTACTTTTAGCAGGTATGCGTCACCATCTGCATCCCCCCCCCCCCCACAGCTGGCCTGCCTGTTTTGTGGGGGAGGGCTGTTGCGGAGCTCGTTAAGTATGTTAATGCTCAGCTGATTGCCTTGGTAGTCCCACCCTTCGTTTGTTAGCCGTAAAGGACCAGGTGCGGGCAGCCATGCTGCTCCGGGGGCCTGTTTGCTCAGCACGGCGCGTTCATCTTGGTGTCTAAGTGCTCCTTAATGGAGCCAGCACTCACAAGTCAGTAATTAAGAATTTCAGTGACAAGATTGGGCCTTCACAGGCATTTTGGTTCTGAAAAAGCGAATTGAGGAGACCGGCAGGCTGCCCCCCCCTCCCAGAACCATGTGCTTGGGAGGGTAGGCAGCAGTGATGAATGGATTGATGGATGGATGAACAGATGATTAAATGTATAAAATGATTTTTCTGTCAGGCTAACTTGCTGGCCTGTTTATCTTGCTTTATAATGTTGTATAGTTAGTTGAATTACGCATTTTCAGAACTGCTTGACTACATTCAGGTATTTGGGTGCCTTAAATAAATCTCCCCCCCCTGCCTGCCCCCAGAGTCGTCCTGCGCTAACCCTGGCACTCCTCCTCATCCGCGGTTATCAGAAACTCACCGGCTGGTAACGACGGCTGGGATGGATGTGAGGTGACACATGGCACTTAGTGAAGCCCGTAGGAGCCCCCTGTGACCACGGCAGCCCCTGATGTCACCCTCTAATGAAATCTGTGGCCGTCCCACTGTCAGTCTCGGGGGGGGGGGGGGAAGCAGTGATTTTCGTAACACCCCCATGAGGTCGCTCAGGTGGTGAGACTTTGTGAAAAGCGTGGGTGAGAAACAGCTATAAATGGAAATGAGCTCATTGCACATGATGGCCAGAGTCACTGGTTCTGGAAGACTCTGTTTCCCGTTTTCACTGTTCTCTATTGTCACGGGCGCTCACCTGGCAGCACTGAGCCCAGCAGTAAACAAGAAAAAAAAAATAAAAAGAGAGAGAGAGGTTCTCGAACCTAAGGCAGCAGTTGATACTAGAATCAGGAATAGCCGTTTGTGTTCAGCCATTTTATTCCTTTATACCTGTGGGGCTGAAGCAGACCCCAATCACGCGGCAAGTTATTTTTTTCTTTCATGTATTTTAGGGTGTTTTTGCCATATTATGGGATGCCCCCTCATTCCCCCTAGCAGCCTTTGCTGGGCTTCACCCAAAGCCTTCCTTCTCTCCTGCCCAGAATCCCCGGCATCTTTGACTCGTCCGAGGGCGGGCAGCTCTGCGTCGACCGCACCGCGGGACTCCTACAGCGACGCTGTCTTCAGCCCCGACGCATGTTACGATGATGTCATCAGGAAGGTGCGGCTTCGGCGAGCGTTCTGCGGGAAAAGCCCGTTTTCTGGCCTCCTGTTGGTAGCAGGGGGCCATCGTTGGGAATGAGGCCTGTTGATAGATGGCAGAGGCAGAGCTGGACTTCCTTACTCCTCAGCCGGGACTCCAACGGCCTCTGGCAGGCTAATTAGCTTCCTCTTGTCCCGTCACTAATGGCATGTGACGTCAGCGCTTTCCGGGCCGCTCCTCACAGGCTTAACAGGTCATTATTGGACCACATGAATAGGAACCTGTCATCTCCATGGCCCAACAAAACCGGCTGTGTTTCCAAAGATCCCTCCAGTGTCCCGCGGAAACACCCGGCCGCGTGGAACAGGAAAGCCCTGTGGCTGGGATCCCGGGGGAGGGGGGGGCGCGATCTGTCAGGCTGCCCATGGCTGTGTGTTTGTGTATACATGATGATTGGGATTAGCTGCACGGGACCTGCGTGACTTGCTAATGAGACAATGAGCATTCAATAGTAGCTAACTGGCAGTGACAAACAACCTCAGTTTTATGTAACCCGCTGTTTTATAACCCCTTGCAGGGCCTGAATGATTTTAGAATATTTCTATGAATTCGCCAGATAATTAGCACCAAAATGCATTTCGTTAATCTCCGTCAGCAGCTGTATGATGCAAAGCACTTGCTTATGTGTGTGTCTGAGGTCACGCTGTGAGTCATATTTTTCAGGAAATGGGTTCAACCCCCCCAGGCCTCATAAAGGAAAATCTCCCCCCCCCCAATCTCAGGATTTGCACCAACCCAAACTTCTCACATTACAGTTATAGTGCAGTAATCATCTAGTCCTCCATGAATATGTAACGAGACCAGAGGGATTATGTTCATATGTAGCAAACACAGATGGAGCCCCCTAGTGGTCAAGTTAGGCTACACTCTTCCCGCATGGTATCTTTAAGGGTCTGCTTCCTGTGAGAAGGAGAAGCAGGGCTTTGGGGAAAATGTCAATGGAGCCTCCTGCTCTTTTCAGAGTCTGGTGACGCCATCTTTTCTGCCTGCAGGTCACAGGTGCAGTGAGCGGAGACAGTGCGGTGTTGGATAGCGGCCCCACTGGCTCCACTGGCCCCACCCCTGAGGCCGAGGAGGAGAAGGACAGCCTAGCGGAGGTGCCCCCGCGCTCTGCCATTGTCCTGCGCTCGTCCGCCCGCTCGCTGTCGCCTGTGCGCCGCCACAGCTGGGACCCCAGCAGGAACGGCCGCGGAGAGGCCGAGATGAGTCAGCGCAGGTGAGTCTGACTGTCTGCGCAGCCCGGATGTAGCTGCACTTCCTCTGCAGCGCTGAGATCATCGCAGACACAGGCCACAGTTCCCCATGAGCGCTGCGTGTGGGAAGCTCGCCTCATCTGAGCGGCAGTTTCGTTTTTGCTTTGCTGCCTGGCAGCCCCCACCCCCTTGGTAATTTTTTCGGGTCTTCCCTCAGTATGCACCCCCCCCCTCCAAGTTGGCAGTCCGGCCGCCTCTGTGGGATTGACCTCCTGAGGGGCCGCATTCGGGGCAGCTCCATGACCCCCGCAGCATCCTGAATGTACCCCCCCCAAAACATTAATAATTACCCTGATGCTGGCAGCATGTTCATCCTTCTGTCCTTCATCTGATCTGCCATTATTCATCCTTTCCAGTTCACTGAGGAGTCTGGGGGAGCGAAAGCACATGTTTCACAAGCGAAGGTACCAACCCCCGGCATCCTGTGTCACGCCGTGTCGCTTCCTTACAGTCTGCTGTGTCATATGTGACCACCCTCCCCAGAGTTAGTCCAGGTCCAGAAAGTAAAAATCCGGACCACGGCTTTGTTTCAACCAAGCAGTTGCATATAAAGACTCAGTCATAGAGTAAACAACTGGCCGGTTGAAACAAAATCTTGGTCTGGACTCTGGACCTGGACTATTCACCTCTTTCCTCTTTAAATCCCATCTCTGGCCTCCATGTCTGTGTGTCAGCCACTGTGTTGTCTGTTTAACTCCATCCTCTCCTCCTCTCCTCTCTCCCATCACGCATTTTCACTGTCTGCCCCCCCCTGCATCTGCATTACCAGTATGAGCTGGTGTCCCTCAGAGGCACCCCTGCACCCTGACCCAGATGATATTAATGGCAGAAGGTATGGTTTTTCTGTGAATCCCCCCCCCCCACTTTGGTCAGAGGGCTTTTGCATGCATGGGGACAGCATGGCTTTTGTGAGGTTGGGTTTTTTTTTTTTTTTGGCGTCCTCCCCTGTCTCTCAAACCCCCGGCTCAGCGCTGGTAAACCTCAGAGAAGTTGACACGCGACGTTTCCGCCCGACCTTCTGACAGCGAGTGTGTGAAGCTGTAGTTTCCTCACTGCATCAGTCCTCGGCACTCAGCCGCCGTGCAGCCTGGTCCGCATGCTTGTCCGTGGAACGTTAGGATGATCAGCCGCGTGTTCTGCGTCAGCGAACCGGACCTCAGGTGAGGTGTCGGGTCTGATGGGTGCTAGTGATCCTGTTGTGCTCTGGTTCCTTACCTCCCTCGTAAGTCAGGTTTCTGTTACATTAATGAAGAGGGAAGTTTCATTTATCAGTGCGGAAGGCTGTGAAATGCTGTAGAATGTTTGGTCATTTTACTATAGAACATTGTAGAACGCTATGGAACGCTGTACTCTGCTCTAGAAACCTGCAGAATGCTGTAGAAAGCACGGAATGTTGAAGAAAGCTGTAGAACACTGTAAAAAGTTGTTGAATACTGTAGATTTCTATGGAACGCTGTAGAATGTTGAAGAAAGCTGTAGGGTCTTGTTGAAGTTGTTTCCAGATCGTCGAGCACAGTGGTATTTCTGAAGAAGCTCCTTCTCTAAATTTGTCACGTTATCTTTTAGGTCCATTTTATGCCGTTTTCTCTCCCTTCTGCCTTGACCGTGTCCCCCCCCCC